GCTTAAACATTGTATAACTTTACAATCACAGTCACTACCAGGCAAAGGAATATGCCGAGTCCTATGGGGTCTGAGGTAGGATTTAAAATACTAAGAATTCATAAAATATAGCAAACGTGAGGCAGGGATATATAAAATACAGTGAATGCTTCTTTTACAGTAAGTATAGCTTTTTTTTTGAGTCTTTTTGGTCCCTCACAGGCACGCGCTACCACGCCCGGCTAATTTTTGATTTATTGTAGAGATGAGGTCTCGCCAAGTTGCCCAGGCAGGTCTCTAACCTGTAGGCTCAGGCAATCCACTCACTTCCACCTCCCAAAGTGCTGGGATTATAGGCTGAGCCACTGAGCCCGGCCCAGCAGGAGAATTTTTTTTTTTTTTTTAGTTGGAGTCTCACTCGGTGGCCCAGACTGGAGTGCAGTGGCCGCTCCTGGCCATTGCAGCCTCGACCTGCTGGGCTCTGGCGATCCTTCTGCCTCAGCCTTCCGAGTAGCCGGAACTACAGGCATGCGCTACCACGCCCGGCTGATTTTTTGATTTATTGTAGAGATGGGGTCTCGCTGCCCAGGCAGGTCTCGAACCCGCGGGCTCAGGCAATCCACTCACCTCAGCCTCCCAAAGGCGCGGGATTACAGGCTGAGCCACCGAGCCCGGCTTCAGCAGGGGAATCTTAAGGCAAAAGTTAAAATACAAGGAAAAAGAACTGGAAAATCTCTTTTCTATGCAGAGATTTTTTTTTTTTTTTTAAGAAGAGTCCTTTTCTACTCAAATTTTGGAAGACTTGTGTTTTTTTGGTAAAGAATGTGATTTCTTTGTTTAGAGAGACATGATATGAAATCACAGACTTTGCCCTTAGGGAGCCCTCTTACTCCTTCACTCACCCATTATTTCATGATGTTGAGTGTTTTAGTAATAAAACCCCTAAAGGATATTCTGACTTTTATGAATTAGATTTGCCCTTTAAAGGTCATCTGAGTTGCAATCCCTCTACTGCCAACTTTTGCATATCCAAAATATTGAGGGCTATGTAGTTTGGCCAACTCTTTTTTTTTTTTGAGTCGGAGTCTCACTCTGTCGCCCAGACTGGAGTGCAGTGGCCACTCACGGCCACCGCAGCCTCGACCTGCTGGGCTCTGGCTATCCTTCCACCTCCACCTTCAAGTAGCTGGAACTTCAGGCGCGTGCTACCATGCCCAGCTAATTTTTTGATTTATTGTAGAGAGGAGGTCTCACCAAGTTGCCCAGGCGGGTCTCGAACCCGCGGCCTCAGGCAATTCACTCACCTCAGCCTCCCAAGGCGTGGGATTACAGTCTGAGCCACCGAGCTTGGTGGCCAACTCTTAATTCAGAAAAATAAGGAAAACAGATGTAACTAATTACCAGGATTAATAGTAGTTAATAAGAGCAAACTTTTTTTTTTTTTTGAGTTGGAGTCTCACTCCGCATGCTCACGGCCACCCCAGCGCTGACCTGCTAGGCTCCAGTGATCCTTCTGCCTCAGTCTTCCAAGTAGCTGGAACTACAGGTGTGCTACCAAGCCTGGCTAATTTTTTGGATTTATTGTAGAGATAAGGTCTTGCCAAATTGCCCAGACTGGTCTAGCACCTGCAGGCTCAGGCAATTCACTCGCCTCGGCCTCCCAAAGTGTTGGGATTACAGGCTGAGCCACTGAGCATGGATGGATTAGACAACTCTTAAGCAGCAGAATCAAGGTTCAACCCAGGTTTGTCTAACCCTAGAGCTTGCACTCTTATCTATTACTCTGGGCATCAATTTTTACATGTATTAATGTTCTGATTTAAGCTAATTGAAAGCAAAACTAGTTTAGCAATTTCATATTGATAGATCAGTTAAAATGTCTCAATGATTATAGAATCATAAACTGAACTGAGAACAAGATCTTTTTTTGCTATTTTCAGTAGTTCAAAGAAGTCTTAGTTTAGTATATTGCTGTGACTTGCAGGTCTCGAAAAGGGATGTATTCAATAAGAAACCTGATATTTTTCATCTCTTCTGCTTTGCTCATGAGAGTTCCTGTGGAGATGTTAATAATGGTAGTTGACATAGATCAAAGGCAGACAAAGCATAAGGGAGAAACTGCTGGAAGGAGCCGGGCTGATGGAATAGGAACTCCCTGAAGAATCTATTCCTGAATGATTAAAAAGCATCAGCATAGTCTGTAAAGTCTGAAGTTGAACACTTGTGAGGAAACTACCATTCTACTTGTTGATGAGGCAGGGAGAAACATTCAACTTGTTAGAGAGCGTCCTGCTATATTATATTGAAATAGGAACCAGTCTGGTTATCCATTTTTTTTTCTTTTCCTCTCAGCAACTTAACAGGGTTTAGGCTGAATGTAAGTTAATAGAGCTGTGCAAATCTCCGTGGGTATGAATATGAATCTACCTCTTCAAAAAGATTACTTTCTGAAGATGTGGGTTCTTTCTAGAATCGAAGCAAGGCTTTGCTCACTACTGATAATCAATATCAGTAGTTAATACTGATAGTTTCCAGTCTAAACGCAAATAAAAAGTGAAAATGAAGAGCATGTTCATTTGCTGTGTTAGGAATTTTGCTCATGTGCCTAAGGCAGTTTTAAGTTATTAAGAAGTCAAAAATAAAGCCCCTGGTTATGTGCCGAAAGACTTGCAGCTGAAAGGTAAGATAAACTAGGTTTTGAAGGCAAGATTCATGTGAAATTTAAAGGGTCAACGAAAGCCAGGAGGAGGCAGGGCTTATTTATTTATTTTTTTTGAGTTGGAGTCTCACTCTGTCACCCAGACTGGAGTGCAATGGCCGCTCCCGGACACCGCAGCCTCGCCTGCTGGGCTCCGGCAATCCTTCCGCCTCAGCCTTCCGAGTAGCTGGAACTAGAGGCGTGCGCTACCACGCCCAGCTAATTTTTTGATTTATTGTAGAGATGAGGTCTTGCAAGTTGCCCAGGCGAGTCTCGAACATGCAGGCTCAGGCAATCCGCTCACCTCTGCCTCCCAAAGCGTTGGGATTACAGAGAACTTTTTTTTTTTAAGTTAAAACCCTAAAAATAATCTTACTTGTTAAAATACAAAAACTCAAACCATGATTTCAGTTTCTACTGCAAAATGAATTGGAGAGTTGGGTTGAACCAGGTATGCTCTTGAGGGCCTTTCAGCGCTGGCATCCCTAGGATATTACTCCAGGCTCAAGGCTCAGAGAGCTGCTAAACTTGATTATATATACTCTTCTTGCACTATACTCGACAGTTATCCCTCTCCTCACTGGCTCTATAAATAGAGCAAGTGTATCTGATTCATCTGAAGGTCTCCACAGCTTAGAACAACGTCAGAAACCGAGAAGGTGCCCCAATGTTTGCACCGTAGGATCCCGAGTTCCAGTTCAGGGCGCTGCAGAGGTCAAGCTCCCTTTTTCTCGCCCCGCAACACACCCACTCCCCACGAACCAACTCTAAACTGGTGCCTGCGCAATGACTGGCCGCGGTGTTTCCCACTCAGGAGGAACTAGACTTTTCTCTCTTTTTTTTTGGAACTAGACTTTTCTAATAATCTGTGACAGACATCCACAGACAGCTCCCTTAACAGACTTAGCGCCAGAATAGTACCTCGGGAACGCCAGGCATGGCCTCAAGACAGATGTAAACAATCTCGCAGCACAAAAAACGAGCGGGAGTTCTCTGATTAGGCACGCGGCGGCGGTAAAACCTCTCGGTATCTAGTTGCCACAGCAACTGTGGGCGTCACCAATCAGATGGCGGAACCAGAACAAAATGAGTACACGTCTCCTGCTCACTGACGTAGCCACTGCGCAGACGCACTAACTTTTTAGGGCTGTAGTTCCTGCAGTCTGCGTCTGCGCATTGGTTGTCACGTGCCTTGGCCTGCCTCGGCGCCTGCGCAAATTGGCACAGCGCGGTGGGCGGAGCTGGGCCACGGTGGTGCGCATGCGCAAACACTACATCCGGTGTGATCGTCGAGTCTTCTAGGAGTTTGGGGAACGCCGGCCCGAGTACCCCGAGTGTGTAGTCATGTCGGCGTCGGTAGTGTCGGTTATCTCGCGGTTCTTAGAAGAGTACTTGAGCTCCACTCCGCAGCGTCTGAAGTTGCTGGACGCGTACCTCCTGTATATACTGCTGACCGGGGCGCTGCAGTTCGGTTACTGTCTCCTCGTGGGGACCTTCCCCTTCAACTCTTTCCTCTCGGGCTTCATCTCATGTGTGGGGAGTTTCATCCTAGCGGGTAATGATTTTATAAGTAGTCGCAATAATGTGTTACTGTGGTGTGTTGCTTTTCTCATAGTGCTCTATTTTATATCAGACCAATGCCCCGTGAAGTTACGAGAAGAGCCAGCATTGCCATGCTCTCTTTTTGTGAATAGGAAAATTGAGGCTCAGAAAGGTTAGGTTGGCCGGGCGCAGTGGCTCACTTCTGTAATTCCAGCACTCTGGGAGGCTGAGGCTGGAGGATCGGATCGTCTGAGGCCAGAAGTTAGAGACCAGTGTGGGTAACATAGCCAGACCCCATCTTTACAAAAAATCAAGCAAACAAAAAAAGAAACACAAAAATAAAGGGACGGTCCGTTGCCAAATACCAAATGGTTCCCTAGGAGCTGAAATTAAATGCCTAAAAAACTCATGCTGCTGCTCTACCTGGTGATCCACTTTACCTCATATTGATCCACGGAAAACCCCATTCCAACTTTCACTTGGCTTTAACACAACTGTAAAGTTGATCGGACTTTTTTTTTTTTTTTGAGTTGAAATCTCACTCTGTCACCCAGCCTGGAGGGCAGTGGCATGCTCTTGGCCACCGCAGCCTCAACTGCTGGGTTCAGGCAATCCTTCCTCCTCAGTCTTCCAAGTAGCTGGAACTATGGGCACGTGCCATCATGCCCGGCTAAATTTTTGATTTATTGTAGAGATGAGGTCTAGCCAAGTTTCCCAGGCTGATCTCGAACTCATGGGCTCAGGCAATCCTCTCACCTCGGCCTCCCAGAGTGCTGGGATTATAGGTGTGAGCCACTGTGCCCAGCCTTGATAGACTTTTTAAATGAAAAACTCAACCTTGACTCATCTCTCTTACCTTAGCCTAATCGCTACTAGCCTCTGGTGAGGAACTTTAGTGAAAGTAAAGAAAGTATATATACAGAGGGTGCCAGAAAAATGTATGCATTTTAAGAATGGATCCTTAAGGGAGGAAAAAATATTAAAATTGTAGTACTCAATATATACTGACAACAAAAGATGAGTACAAGCCACAATACAATGAATACAAGTTTGACTTCTGCAGTTTACAAGGGATTCTCAAAGTAGTTACTGTCAGCATCCAGACACTTCTGATTACAGTGAACATCTCTTAACATTGTTTAAAATGTGTATACATTTTTTTTTGGCACTCTTGAAGGATGCCTGGCTTGTTGAATCCTCCTTTACTTGATTCTGGCTTTTTGCTGCTCTTGTTTCTCGTGGATGAAAAAAATTTCACTGTGCAGTGTTATTTCACTATCTTGAGCTCAGTTTTTATGCATGTAATTCTGTTTTGACTTTATTTTCCCTTCTGATTTCAGAATTTGATAATCTTGCAGACTGCCATATTTAATGAGAACTGTCTCCATAAATTTTTGACTTGCTTAACAGGGATTCAATGACTACTGAAACAGTTTTGGTCCAGGGAGTGTTAGCCAATCCAATTTATAGGTGGCCACCACATGGGCCATTTCTGTCTTTGGTTTCACCTGCTACTTGACTTTGAAAACATACCAGAATTCATGTTTTCTTTTCAGCCTGATTATTATCAGGCAGACCATCAATTGTATTTTGAGTTAAATACCAGGTATTAAGGTAGAAGTTTTGGGGCTACGGAAGGCATATGTTCTTTGTCGTCAAAGAGTTCACAGTCTAGTTGGGGTACAGACAAAACACAGTATTAGAATTTTCTGGAGACTTCATTTACAGTAGTGCTCTGCTTAAAAGTTACAGATCAGTAGAATGATTTTTACATATTCACATTCCTAGTTCAGACATATGAGATACTTCTACTTCTCAGAATTTAAAATAGGTCTGACCAGGCATGGTGTCATGCCTGTAATCCCAGCACTTTGGGAGGATGAGTTAGGAGAATTGCTTGAGCCTAGGAGTTAAACTTGGGCAATATAGTGAGAACTTGTCACTACAAAAAAACTCAAAAATTAGCTGAGAGTAATGGCATGTACTTGTAGTCCCAGCTACTTGGGAGACTGAGGTGGTAGGATCACCTGAGCCTGGGACGTCAAGGCTGTGGTTAGCTGAAATCATGTCACAGTACTCCAGCCTGGGTAACAGAGTGAGACCCTGTCTCAAAAAAAAAAAAAAAATCTCTGTGTTAGCCTTATCTGGTGTTGTACATTTAGACTGTTAATTGACTATTTAATTATCATCTTTGAGTTTTGTCCTAGATGACCAAGACCTGGTTCTCTGTGGCAGCATCCTGGGCTTCAGGATGTTACCATTCATCAAAGAGACCAGGTACACTACTCTCTTTGCTGTATATATTTTCCACTCCCCTCTTTTCTGTCCCTGTACTATTCATGATTAAGACTTGCCACCTAAGCCGGGCTTGGTGGTTCAACCTGTAATCCCGCGCCTTTGGGAGGCTGAGGTGAGTGGATTGCCTGAACCCATGGGTTCGAGACCCGCCTGAGCAGGCGAGACCTCATCTCTACAATAAATCAAAAAAATCAGCCGGGCATGGTAGCGCGCGCCTGTAATTCTGGCTACTCGGAAGGCTGAGGCGGAAGGATCGCCGGAGCCCAGCAGGCCGAGGCTGCGGTGGCCGGGAGCGGCCACTGCACTCCAGTCTGGGTGACAGAGTGAGCCTTCAACTCAAAAAAAAAAATTGCCAGCTAGAAGAGGGAACCTTGATGAGAATGTCTAATTAATTTGTTTGATATTTTTATCTCCAGGTCTGGAAGAGTAGGAACGGGCAGGGCCTGAGAGCTGATTTAAAAAAAAGACGGCTTCTCCATGCTGGGGTCACCCTGTCTTCATAGCCACTCGGGTTAAGAATGACTTTTCAGGTTGGGCTTGGTGGCTCAGCCTGTAATCTCAGCACTTTGGGAGGCCGAGACGAGTGGATTGCCTGAGCCTGCAGGTTTGAGACCTGCCTGGGCAACTTGGCGAGACCTTGTCTCTACAATAAATCAAAAACTAGCTTGGTGTGGTAGCACACGCCTGTATTTCAGGGTACTTGGAAGGCTGAGGTGGAAGGATTACCAGAGCCCAGCAGGTCGACAGTGGGGTGGCCGTGAGCATGCCACTGCATTCCAGCCTGGACAACGGAGTGAGACTCTGATTCAAAAAAAAAAAAAAGTGGAGTCCAAATGGGGGCCTGGGATTTCCAGATGTATTAGATAACAGGTAATAGGGCTAGAAAAAAATGAAAGCAGCTTCAGTAGAAGAAAGGATTCATCACAGTTCATAGTAGCCGCAGAAGGGTGTGATATGTATTTCTTTTGATAGCATTGACCTTACTAAATCCCACCTCCTCTGCCATTTATTAGCCTAGATCATCTACCGGAGATTGGTTTTAATGGGAAATTTGAAATTTCTTATTCTTATTGCTTATTCTTTGGTTTGTTTTTTTGTTTTTGAGTTGGAGTCTCACTCTGTTGCCCAGGCTAGAGTGCAGTGGCACCTTCACGGCCACCGAGTGCTGGACTTGCTGACTTGCTGGACTTAGGTGATCTTTCCACCTCAGCCTTCCAAGTAGCTGGAACTACAGGCGTGCGCTACCACACCCAGCTTATTTTTTGACTTATTGTAGAGACAGGTCTCATCAAGTTGCCCAGGCTGGTCTCGAACCCTCAGGCTCAGACCATCCTCTCACCTCGGCCTCCCAAAGTGCTGGGATTATAAACTGAGCCACCATGCCTGGCCCACTTATTCTTTGTTTTGATTGTTAGGAAAGGAAGCTTTGTACCTATTATTGGTGCTGGGCTTTCTAACTTTCTTGTGGGATATTTCCTGTTGGAAGAGAATGGAGGAGGCCAGTTTGTCTGGAGGGAGTGAATTGTAGGAGATAACATTGAAAGATTAGGTAGTGCTGGATGCTAGAGCTTTGAATGCCAGGCCAAATAATTTGGACTTTATCTTGTAGGTAATAGGAAAACATCTGAGGATTTTTTTTTTTTTGAGTTGGAGTCTCACTCTGTTGCCCAGACTGGAGTGCAGTGGCCGCTCCCGGCCACCGCAGCCTAACCTGCTGGGCTCCGGCGATCCTTCCGCCTCAGCCTTCCAAGTAGCCGGAATTACAGTCATGCACTACCACGCCCGACTGATTTTTTTGATTTATTGTAGAGATGAGGTCTCGCTGCCCAGGTGGGTCTCGAATCCGCGGACTCAGGCAATCCACTCACCTCAGCCTCCCAAAGGTGCGGTATTACAGGCTGAGCCACCAAGCCCGCTTGAGAATTTTTTAATTTTAATTTTTTTTTAAAGGAACGAGACTTAAAATCAGCATCAGAATGAATTGGAGGGGAAATTTCTTTAATCTTCTCTAATTTCTTTTTGGCAGTCTATTCTCTTCCATTCCCTCTGCATGTGTTAATTTAGCATATGTGCTTTGGAAATTGATCAGTACATTTTAAACCAATTTAGAATGCTGCCACACTTAAAAAAAAACCTGTTATTTGGACCTGATGGCATGAAAATAGTCTTTTCTTCTATTCCCTCATAACTGGGAGATACACCCTTAGTTTCAAGATGAAGCTGGAGGTAGAAAATTGCCATTGAGAGATCTTTTTTTTGGATCAACAGAATATGTATAGTATATAGACTTTAAAAGAACCTCAGAGGTAGAATATTTTAGTTCTTTCAGACAGATTTCAAACCTCCTTAGCAGCTGACTGTTTATCTTGTGGTTAGATATCTCTAGAGGAATACATCTGTCCCATTTTTAGGGTAATATTTCAGTGTTGGCAACCCTTTTTTACCCAACTGAAATCTGTGCTCATTTAAAGTGCTTTTTTTTTTTGAGTTGGAGTCTCACTCCATTGCCCAGTGTGCAGTGGCACACTCACGGCCACCCCAGCGACCTGCTGGACTCTAGCGATCCTTCCACCCCAGTCTTCCAAGTAACCGGAACTACAGGTGTATGCTACCGTGCCCGACTAATTTTTGATTTGTTGTAGAGACGAGGTCTCGCCAGGTTACCCAGGCTGGTCTTGTGAAGTGCTTCTTAGGAGGAATAAGTGGAAAATGTTG